TCAGGGGTAGGCGAGGAACCACGAATTGCCCTTGCATTAAATATCTCTGGAAGAATGCAAGGAAAAGGTTGAAGACGGAAAGATGTTTTTACTCTTGCAACTACAGAATTTTGAACCCTGGGACTATTTTACATATTTTAAAGCTATTAACAATTTAAAAATGAAAACAAAACTGGGCCTAAATCTGGAACTAAAATTTAAAAATTAACATTCCCAGCCATTAAGCTAGGGAACTCTCTAGTAAGGATCCAGAATATAAAAACAATATATTTAAATATAATAAAGCTAATAGATTGAATTGTAAAAACAAGTTAGATTTTCTTTTAACAGTGATCAACTCACAAATCCATACTATTTTCTAGTATAAAAATGGCTTTAGGAATACATATGTACAAGAATAGGGCAGGCTGTTAACTTTATTTTTATTTCATATAGCTGATCAAGTTACCAGACAAATATATTTTAATGTAACAAAAAGTTATCATTGATGTATATAATCTACAATGTAAATGATTTTAATAATTAATTAATTTAGTATACCCAAAGACATTTGAATTTTATCCATTTTTGAAATGTAAAGTACACAATTATAATACCCATACTACAGATCTTATAATTTTAAAGTTTTAGCTAAAACATGAGTCTCTGCAAATAAAAGCAAGAATTCTCCTATACCTAAGACAAATAAAATGTGTTTCTAATAAAGTGCCACTGGATAAGACAATGCCATTTCAACTACTTCCTTTTTGGAGAGGAGAACACAAGTACATAATCATAAGGAACTAGCCATTTTCACTATACTAGCATAGAGCTAGTAATGTGCATTGTAATTCGTAACAAGCACAAGAGTGCTCATTTATAGTAGGTATTAACCATAATAAAGAATTCCTTTCAAGAAAGATTACAATTAAGACTTATGACAAGCTGTACAGTCATCACTGAATATAGTTTGGTGTCCAGAGTTTTTAAAAAATACAATCTTGAACTAAGATGAACCTAAGTCTACCATTACCAAGAAATAGTTTTAGGGACTTCATATGAGTAAAAGAACCTCTCTCTCAATTGTAAAATAGGTTTCACTCAATTCTAAGGCGAGAGGAATAGTGGTGGTTGGTAAAGTTTGACAACAAGTATGTTTCTAGCAGGTGAAAGAAAGCCTGATATACACTGCTTTAAGATGCATCTTTCACATAAGGAAAACATGCTAATTAGATGTAGATAGCACTTTTCAGGCACTTGACCTCACTTGGTAGTTAAGTTGATGTTCAGATGTATACTTAATGGAGAAACATTAAATTATATAGAGACTTCAAGTCACGTTCTCACAGAACATCTGTGTTCCATAAGCGAAATCCAAATGTTCCCTGCTAAAATCAAATAATGATGCCATATATCCACTTCAGAGAAAAAAAATTTAATAGATTAAAGTTAATAGATTGAATTTTCTCAATTTAAGGTTTTCCACAATAAATTTTTCATAAGCCTTTGTTGTCTATTTCTTGCCTGAATGCCAGGAGAAAAAAAGGCTTAAAAACTATAAAATATTATGCCTACGTAAAGTTAGAAAATTTTAAACTGTTGATCAGTTCAATATAACATACAGTTTATGGAAGTATGCTTACAGTTTGCTCTTATACTGCTTAAGAGCCACATTTTCTCATAGTAAATTTGTTTCTGGTTCATATTATAGAATTCAGTATGTAAACATTTTCATGTACCCAAAAGAGCATTATGAATTTTTGATCTGTTGTTCCTAGATATGTTTGAGAACCACTACATCTTTGTCTGGCTCTAAAAACTATCTTTGGGGTCCATGCCAAAGGAATGCTTTCAGATATATCATTAAGGTTTGGGTCCCAAAATAAGACTACCAAATTCTGTTCTATAATGAAAAATACATGGCAAGATTCTGGTATAGATGTTAACAATGTTCCCATTTTTTTTCTTTAATACTTAGCATATAGGTTAAGTATGTTGATGTTAAGGATTTTTTTATTTGCATGTTATCATTGTGTTACAATTTGGGAAAATTTGGCAATATACTTTCAGGCAGCTTTAAAATAATGCAACTTCAGCTCTTAGCACAAACAGCCCTGAGAACAATGCATTCAAATTACAGCTCAACTAGAAATAATCTAATTGAGAAACTTTAAAGTTACAAAAACAAATTCTGGAAAAGTTGTAAATTAAAAAAAAAAGTTACAACATTTGAGGCACTACCAGACTACAGTACTTTTAAGAGTTGAAAGGACTTTGTAAAAAGAACAAACATACAAAGCTGTGTGTGTGCATATGCACGCACTCCACATTGTGCTATAATGAAAAATTGTGTCCCCAAATTTTATAGCCTTAACATTTTATTGTAGCATCTCCTATTAAAGATATCATGCTCCGCTGCAGGAGAGTTTTGGTAATTGTTAACAAAGCGTTGGTACAGAACTTTGTACCATAAATGGTAACGGATTCAAGAGCTTGGTTAGCAACAATTTCAAGTGACAGACAGCCCTTGGAGGGGAGAATGGAACATCATAATTATGTTTATGATGCAAATACTAAGTCAAAGTAGCAATGATTTGATCTATTTCAGAGGGTATTCAACTTTGTAGTAGCAAATAAGGTATAACAAAGTCTTCACAGTAGAAATAAAATATGTTGCTCTAGAAAGAAACAAATATTCCACTTGTTAATACTGTATATAAATTGGTGAAATGCCTGCTGACAAAAATGGTGTATCATTGTATAATCTATCAACATTGACAGTCTACACTCTATACATGGTAACCTGTGATAGTTAACATTTGCTACAAAAAAGTACAACAAATACTAGGAATCAACTTTTAATATTTCTGATGTCAAAAAGAATGAAGTCACTGCTGTTCTATGTTAAAAAATATGTTCACCTGCTTCCTTTTAATACAATTTATAAAGCTTTACTAAATGAAATATTTTGTTCTAGACAAACATGTACTGACTTATGTGAAAATAAACAGTCCCATATCTTTAAAATCTATACTTATAGTTATATATCAGAGGAGTATTTACACTTCATTATAGTACTTAAAATATTTATGCATAAATAGCTTTTGCCATTCAAAGTATGAAGATAGAGATGCATTATAATTTACATATGCTTACCTCACAGTTGAAATGTATTTATGTGAAGTTTGACAAGTTAGGAACAACAAGGGCATGCTAATCCAGAATTAATACAAAACCAGAACACTAGTATGGCTAGCTGGGGTCATATGGGTGACCAGCAAGCAGCACAGATTGAGAACTTTCTGGAATTCCTGTGGATAACAATGCCAACCAGTAACAAGTAAAACACACAGAACAGACTACTAAAAAACTAGAGCAGTATGTAGTAGGTACTTAAATGGAATACTGGAAAGAATTTAGCCTAATGCCTAGTTGTGCTTCAGATGGGCAAAAGCTAGGATGTTACACTAAAATGGTTACCTATAACCTCTATATTTCTTGTGCTTTAGAATTCTCCTTGCATTTCTCTTAAAGTATCTTGTTTTCTTCTCCAGATGGGTTTGCTGAGACCAATACAAGATTTAAAAATGTGCACAGATTAAGTAACTACACCTTTGGGATCTCCTGTTCCTAATACTATTTTTAGTTGCTGATTAGATTAGTTACAACATCATATATGTTTTCCTCTAGATGATAGGAACAAAGGCCTTTCAGAGGTCAAGGTATGATGAGAAAGGTCTGGTCATCAGTCTTAGAGAATGATTACTGAAGTAGTGATTTTGTTCTAAGTTTAATTTCAATATAATGATTGTTACTAAGTCTAAGGTCCTTGCACATCCTGTGACGCTGTCTAGAATCCTGGAAATAAGATATATTAAGAGAAATGTAGCTGAGTCACCTAAAACACTCTTTTAAATTATTCAGTTTGTAGAAATCTTTCCTACTTATGTTTCACACCAGTAACTGAATTAAGTACATAACAATCAGAAAAAAAATATGTACTTCTTAAAAATAAGAAAAATAATAATTATCACAGAAACTAACTCTTGTTCCACAATACAGTTTCACTTCACTTTAGAAAAAGTATACATAAATTTAACAAATATTCCAAATCAATTTAAAGAATTTCCAGTTTTGCTGGACAACTAAATATCTTAATGTCAAAAAAATGTACTTAAAAATGGTTGGAAAGGAGGGACTACTATAAATACCAACAATTTATTCAACATATTGATAAAAAGCACTGCATAGTATCCTATAATAAAGCAGGGCACTCCTTCAAATACAGAGAGAGAACAAAGGGAAAATGTGAAAACATAACTAGAAAGAAACTTCCTATTTTTATGCCAATTACACAGGCCTCAATTAAGAACCTATAGCTCTAGCCAGTCCCCTTTGCCACTGCCCCCTGTAGACTCCTCCTCCTTTACAATTTGACTTGCTACTAACAGTTAATCAACATAGTTACAATGCCTGTCAGCTATGAGCAGGTAGCAAAATCACTACGAATAAGGTTATATCATTTCCAACAATTTGGCAAAGGAAAGTATGACTGAGGTAATACAAGTAGCTGCACATGCCTACTAAGAAAACTGACACCTTTTGATAACATGATTTTTGTTTAAGGATTTGTGCTTGCCACACACAAGCTGAAACTCCATAATCAACTTATTCTATATTAAGTCTGAAATTAACGCAGAACAACTCAACATAAATGTGGTACTTCGATACCACTAGATGCTACATTGTCTGATTTAAAACCCTGGTTTATCTATCAACTAAAATTCAGGAATGATTTGCTCAGACAAATCATATCCGCTGAAGTCATCTTATCTATTTCTTGTACTCACTGAAAACCACAGGAAAGTTATAGGAAAGACACCTACAAAATTAAAAAAAAAAAAGAATTACACATCTTGATGATTTTAAATTACCAACTGCCTGCAAAACTAATGGGCACAATTTCAAAACAATGTAAAAAAAATGAGGTTGCTTATGAAGGCCATAGCTTTGGTGACAACTTAGACCCAAACTTTAGATCTGTGGGTGATCCAGACCTAACATTCTGCTTGTGCCTGATGTTCCCATTTACTTGCAGGGCTTTATGGCTACAGCATATTCTTCGCTCATTGCACACATTACAGACACCTAGAAGGAAAAAAAAATGCAGGCAAAAAGTTATTCAGAAGGCAATACATACATAAGATATGTTATTATATACTGGATAGTTGTGGATATTTTATACATTCTGACTTTGGAAAGAGGTATTCCAAAACGAGATAATCTACTTTCTCTATAGGTTTCCAAAGTAAAATTTCTCAAATTGTGGTTTTTAAGATGACTTCCAGGGAGCAGGGATAATAAGAGCTATGAATATCTCAATACTTATTAGATATTATACTTCTGAGAGTCACAGCAAAGACAAAGAGTAAATCACCTTCAGATTTTAGTATTCCCATACCATCCTTTCTCATCTTTAATGGCTCAGTTGCTATTCTTCAATACACATTTGGGGTTGGCAGTGTCTGCTTAGCAAAAAGTGAACTTTGATACCTTCTTTGGTAAACGATCTCTAAGGGTATCATGGGAAACCTGTCTCACAGAGATCATTTTCAATTTTAGCAGTATATAAAAACTGTATTTCATATTTGGCATTTTTTGCTAACTAGTTTAGGCCACAGTTTTTATAAAAAGCAATCTCTCCTTGGGTCTTTACCTGTACATCTTCACCTGCATTGTATTTTCCTTCTATTTCTTTACCTAGTTCACCTTCTGGGAGCTTAAGATCCTCACGAACTTCACCGGTTTCTGTCAGCAGGGATAAGTAACCATCTTGAATACATATCAGCTATTAAAAGAAATAATATAATTTGCATTGATTAGATTATATCACTCTTTGTAATATTTACATAGTTAAGATACAATCCACATTAATTTGTACACATACACAACAATACATTAATATATTCTGATAGCTTAAAAATGCTAAACATACAAAAGCATAAAAGATGTATAGACTAAAAGTATAAGTTCAGTCCTTTCTGAACACCACCTTCCCCCAACTCTCTATCTATATAGTATGCCCTGAAGCATTTATGTGTATGTGCACAATACAAACATAGTTGCTTTAGAAAAAATAAATGAGAATCCAAGGCGATTCCGTCTCCAAGGGACCTGTTCATGCTCCTCTTCAGGAAATTAGTAACTTAGAATAAAATCTGACATGCCTTAGGTTGTTGGGGGGAATGGGACGTTTGTTTCCTTTGCCTTCCTTTGGCTGCCTATACACATACTTCAATCCTTTCTGGTTAGTTTGAGTCTTCTCATTCCCATGATGAAGTTGTCCTCTCCCTTGACCTAGGCCAGAGGCATTGATGTGCAGCAAGTTTCTTTAGTCATCAACTATGACCTTCCCACCAACAGGGAAAACTATCCATTATAATTGGTCCTCGTGGACAATTTGGCCATAAGGGTGTGGCCATTAACATGGTGACAGAGAAGACAAGAGAACTCTTCGAGATATTGAGACCTTTCCACAAATCTTCAATTGAGAAGATGCTAGTCATTGTTGCCGACCTCATCTGAAGGGCTGTCCTTTTACCTAGCCCTATCCAGGATTCAGGCCCTGGGGGGTTGAAGAGGAGCAGGAGTGAGGAGGGAAGGGAGCCATGGGATGGACATCTTGTCAGTTTTTTTTCTTTTCTTGGAATGTCACTTTTTGTATCAAAAGAAAAAACATAAATGGGATGTCACAGGTATTTTTCAGCAAGTTGTTTTCACTTAACAATGTCTTAGAAATCTTTCCAAATTGGAAACTATAGGCCTGCCTCAGTCTCTAACTACTTCACAACTGCATAAACAGATTGTAACTGATTTAACTGTTTTCCTATTAATGGGCATAAAGTTAATTTTAGTTTTCCATGATTATAATGTGTTTTATAATTTGATTATGAACAAAATTCTGTAGAAAACTTTTGGTGTCCAGTTTACTACTACATTAGATTTTTTTTTCAAGACAAACATTTGCTTGTTGACAACATTAATGAGACAAACCCAGTTTAAACTACAAAAAGACACAGTTTTGATATCACTGATTTTTTTTTTATTATAGGAATGAGGACACAGCCACTCTGTACTCATTTATTCTAAAAGCATATACACCGTCAGTATGTCTAAGATTTTTTAAAAAAATTTATTTAAATTTTAGTTAACATATAGTGTAGTATTGGTTTCAAGAGTAGAATCAGTGATTTATCACTTAAATACAACATCCAGTGCTCATCACAACAAGGGCCCTCTTTAATGCCCATCACCTATCTAGCCCATCTCCCACCCCCTTCCATCAATCCTCAGTCTCTTCTCTCCCCGCTGCCTTACCATCTGTTTTGTTTCTTAAATTCCACATGTGAGTGACTACTGATGGGAATGCAAACTGGTATAGTCACTTCCACTCTGGAGAACAGTATGGAGGCTCCTCAAAAAACCAAAAACAGAAATGCCCTACCATCCAGCAACAAGTGCCTAGGCTTCTAACAGATTTTACGACAGGCAATTGTTCGGAAATACCAGATGCTAACATTGACAAACACAGAAAGAGTAGAAGATACAGTCCTCACTCCCCTTTACTGCTGTAACACAAACATACCATAGAGGTAGATTTCAAAGCTCCTCTCTATGGCACTACCAGATCTGGCTCTGGCTTCCCACAGATATCTCACCAGGAGATTTCAGCTTTTACACATGCCTAAAATCTCAAAAACAAAAAATCATCCTGAAAGCAACCACAAATACTTTTAATTCATCTTTACATCACTCAAACATTTATGAGGTGGTTGGCAGAGAAGTGGGAAATGAGGTTGAGGCAGAAGTGTAGTTCTTTTTGATTTACCAATCTTTGTATGCACTACAAAGTGATCACCAGAATAAATCTAGTTACCATCCATCACCATACAATTGATCTCCTTTACCCATTTCACTCATTCCCCAATCCCCTTCATCTCTAATAACCAATCACCAATATGCTCTGTAAGTTTTGTTTTGTTTTTGTTCATTTGTATTTTACACTTTACATGTAAGTATTTCTCTTTTTCTCTGGGACTTATTTCACTTAGCATAACACTTCAAGTTCCATCTAGGTTGTTGCAAATGTCAACATCTCCTTTTTTTATGACAGAGTAGTAGTCAGTTATATATATATATATATATATATATATATACCACATCTTCTTTCTCCATTTATCCATTAATGGACATTTAGGCTGTTTCCATATCTTGGCTATTGTAAATGATACTGCAATGAACATCTAGGTGCATATAGCTTTTGAACTTAAGTGTTTTCATACCCAGAAGTGGTATAGCTGGATCATATGGTAGTTCTACTTTTACTTTTTGAGAAACCTCCATACTGTTTTCCATAGTGGCTACACCAATTTAAATTCCCACAAAGAGTCCAAGAAGTTCCTTTCTCTCCAGATCTTTTCCAATACTTGTTACTTATTGTCTTTTTGATAATAACTATTCTAACAGGTATGAGGTGATATCTCATTGTGGTTTTCATTTGAAGTTCCCTGTTAATTAGTGGTGTTGAATATCTTCTCAGGTACTTGTTGGCCATCTGTGTATCTTCTTTGGAAAAATTTGTTTTGATCTTCTGCCTATATTTAAATCAAATTACTTGGTTTTTTTGGTTTGTTTATTTTTTGCTATTGAGGTGTTTATGTTTTGGACATTAACCCCTTATCAGGTATATGATTTCCAAATATTTTCTCCCATTCAGTAGACTGCCTTTTCATCTTGTTGGTTTCCTTTGCTATACAGAAGCTTTTTAGTTTGATGTAGTCAAACTCATTTATTTTTGCTTTTGCTGCCTTTTCTTTTGGTGTCAGATCCAAAAATTTAATGCCAAGACCAATGTCAAGAAGCTTACCACAAATGTTTTCTTCTAGTTTCGTAGTTTCAGGTCTTATACTCAAGTCTTTAACCAATTTTGAGTTAATTTTTGTGTATGGTGTAAGATAATCTAGTTTCATTCTTTTGCATGTGGTTGTCTAGTTTGCTCAACATCATTTACTGTATAATTCTAAACAGCCACAGGCTTATAAGGCAGATCTTTCTGACTTTGGCTTTTAGCAATTCCCCTACGTATAACTTGTCTATTTCATGAATTAAAGGTTCCACTGCCATTAGTGACTGAAACATAAAAGGCAAATAATAATACTGGATACTTTGATATTTATTTATATAATGGTAGTATTTTATTTTTATTTAAAAAATGTTTTTAAAATGTTTTTTATTCATTTCTGAGGGAGAGGCAGCGTGAGCAGGGGAGGATCAGAGATGGAGACACAGAATCCAAAGACAGGCTCCAGACTCTGAGCTTGCTGTCAGCACAGAGCCCGACGCAGGGCTCAAACCCATGAACCGTGAGATCATGACCAGGGCCGAAGTCGGATGCTTAACCGACTGAGCCACCCAGGTGTCCCTAGTATTTTATTTTTAAAGAGTTAAGAATTCATTAGTTAAACTGTGGGATGAAATATAAAGCATTTCAAATAAAATATGTATCGACATATTATAAAATATCTCATAAAACAACATATTTTAAAAAGTAAACATCTTATTAAAATAAATTACTATATAAAATAAAATTAAAATTTTCAAAAATAAAACTGTAGCAAAACAAAATTTAATAATGAAAATTATTTGATCTTCTTACATAAATTACTTAAAAATCTTCAGATACACAGTAAATTTACAAAAATATGTCAAAATCCCCTATCTTTTCCCTAGATTCACCCATTGTTAACATTTAACCACATGTGCATTTTTTCTTTCTGTATGTAGGAATACATAAACACATATAATACACATTCTTGTTCTTTCCTTCTTTTTACTAAACGATTTGAGAGTATGTGTCAAACATCATGTCTCTAGCAATAAATACTTTAGTGTGTTTTCCTAAGAAAGACAAATTCTTATATAACCAACTTATTTTTTAAAATTAGGAAATGTAATATTGCTAAAATATTATTTAATATATAGCCCATATTCAAATTTACCAATTGTTCCAGTATTGTCTTTCATAGAAGCTATTTCCTTCCAACTCCAGGTTCATACCTTGTACATATTTGGCAAGGATATGTGCATGAAGACCACCACAGCACAATAAATATAACTGAAAAGGCCCACAGAGCTAACTTTTTTAAATGAACAGAAATAAGTATTATATGGTGACTTGATAACAAAGGAGTATGATCACTGAGTACTTACTATGCAAGCTGCTGTTCTAAGTTATTAACTAATTAAACCTCACAATGATCCCATGAGGAGTTTATTATTCTTATCTTCATTTTATAAATAACGAAAAAAGGCAAGAGGTTAAGAAACTTGCCAACCGAAGTGTTACAGTAAGGATTTGGACCCAGCCTGTCTGGCGTGAGTCATTGTCTTATCCATGATACAGTATAGACTACCTACTATGCACTAGGATGAAAAAGTGAAGCACTTGTTCTGAGTGCAGAATTTAAGGTGGCACCAAAACACCTCATCAGTGATCCACATATTTTAAAGCTAAAATTAATGCAAAAATTTCACGATGAACAAAGTATAAAAATTTTAAATAAAGACAAAAATTGAAATAGCGATTTTTCCTTTTGCCTTAGACTGCTATGTGGCTGGACATTGTTAGTAGTCTTTTTATTTAAAATTTTGTGATTTAGGGGTGCCTACGTGGCTTATTCAGTTGAGTGTCCCACTTCCAATTTCTGCTCAGGTCATGATCTCATGGCTCAGGGATAGACCTGAGTCGGGCTCTGCGCTGACATCACGGAGCCTGCTTGGGATTCCCTCTTTCTCTCTCTCTCTCTCTCTCTCTCAAAATAAATAAAGTTAAAAAAAATTTGTGCTCTCGGCAAGGGCCTCACTTAGCTCATTCCCCTTACCCTAGTTTGGGCCCTGCTGTATCCTCAAATAAAACCCAAACCAAATATTTCCTTTATGTTAAATCTGGAGCTCCAACCAATGATTGACTCATTTTTAAAAATATTTATTTTTGAGAGAGAAAGAGAGAGATCATGCATGCATGGGGGAGGGGCAGAGAAGGGAGAGAACCCTCTCCGATTCATTAGCACAGAGCCTCGACAGTAAGATCATGACCTGAGCCAAAATCAAGAGTCAGATGCTTAACCGACTGAAAGGACTTAAAAGAAAAATTTGGTTTGGGTTTTATTTGGGGATACAGCAGGGCCTAGACTAGGGTAAGAGGAACAAGGCAAGTGAGGCCTTTGCCTAGAGCACATTTTTTACAATTAGTCAATCACCTAGGCACCCCAATGATTGACTAATCTGATCATGGTAGTAATTATATGAATTACTGATACTATCTTTCTGAAACACTCAAAGGCAAAAGCATTCTATATTGAATGCATATTAATGTATATAATGAATATTGAATATTCAAAGCATTCACATGTTAAGGATGAAAACAGAAATCCATTTTTGGCAAAAGAAAAGTCTATGCTTAGCCTTAGCTGCACTATCCTTACTTCAATGAATAATCACATATGCATTTAACAAATGTTTATTGAGCACCCACTATATGCCATGTCTAAATTAGGTGCTCCAAGCAAAATGGAATGATTAAATGGAATTTTTATACAGGAAAAGGGGGAGCAGGAAAGGACTACTTTTTGGTACATATCTACTTATGAGGTAATTATCGTATACATTTTCTCATTTAACCCTCACATTCTCCTTCCTTTGAAGACTGAGGCTCAGAGAGATTATATAATTTGTCCAAGGTCGTCCAGCTAGAAAGTGGCGGAACTAGATCCAAACCCAAATTTGCCCAGTGCTCGCTTCGGCAGCACATATACCAAACCCAAATTTGCCTGACTAAAAACAAACAAACCAACCCATATGCTATTATTATAATAAGACAATTCAAATGTTTACAAAGACTCCAAAGCAACCTAGAAAACATTTATAAATGGGAAAGTGAAAATATAAAACTTACTACATTAAAACTATGTAAAAATACATTACATGGGAACAAAGAATAAAAGGAAATCATATGGGAATTGCAGTGGATGGTAACATGCTCTAAAAATTATATAATACAATAAAAGATATAGCAAGAAGTCAGTTTAAAATGAATTTAAAAAATCTAGGTATCACACTTGTAGTTTTCACTGTGTAAAATATAACAGGAAAGAGTACGATATATGGTATGCTTGTCACTGAGATTGAAGACTTACAAGAGAGACTTTAGTTATGATTAATCTGAGCAACCACATCCTATGAGGTCAATAGTTTGGTTACCATCAGTTCTCCCAAACCAACGAAATGTTTTCATTACACACGACCTATCCAAATGTATAATTGAAACTAAACTTGGAAGTTTATACCTATAATTTAACAAAAGGTCATGGCATGGTCACTGAATGTAAATAAAACAATTACATAGTTTTGTATTTTCTTTACTATATCCAGTGGCCATGTACCTTATGTTTTATATTAATGGCTTTCGACTAACTTCTGTATTTAGGAATACCAAATTCTGACTCACATTCATTAATACACAAACTTGGGTGGAATATGAATTCCAATGACTCTGTGAAAGTCTTAGGTTTGAGAAGTGAAAAGAAATAAAATACCTGGGAGAGAGTCATCTACATTTGAAATGTTACGAAAAAGAGAATAGCAGTTTTACTAAACATTGGACTTATTCAATCACAAAATGCAGTCACTTGATCTGAGAAACAATAAGACATGTTCAACTTTTCAAAAATTCAAAATGTTAAAAAAAATAGCAAATTAACAGTAAATATAGACAAGTTACAAGTATTAAATATCACTATTTTTTCCTTTTTTTTTTTTAGGATAAGTGGTGCCTAATATTTAGTTAGAAAAACCTATAAAACTACTCCCAGGTTTTGTTAAATTACAGTTGATAGTAGAATGTATTTGCAACTTTAAGAAATAAGCAGCATTTTACAGGAAATTAGTACTCACTTGATAATCATTTCTCTTAATATTTGGAACATCCATGTTGTGAGTAGAGGGACAAATATCTTCATATTTTTTGCCCGTGAAAATATCAATTCCAACAAGGTGAACCTAACAGAAAAGGGAGAACAGGAAACCTGTTTAATCTTTGCCAAGTATATCACTCATTACATACACAAGAGCACAATACCAAAGCTGATTATGACAGATTCTTTCTCCTTCCAAGGTCATCTAATTTTATTTTCTAAAAAAAGAAAAAAAAATGTAGTGGTCACTGAACTGAGAAGCAGTGAACCAAACTAAACAGTTTCACGACATATCCAGACCCAATATCATATATAGCTCAGTAATTCAACTATAAGAGTGCATAAGAGAAATGAAGTTATGTTAGAACAGGTTTTCTCATCTGAATAGATATTCTAAGTCACTAGGATTGCAGGAAAGTTTCATTTCCCAGTTAATGAAATATTATAAGGGCCAAATAAAGAAACGCTATATTTCAGTATCTAAAGCAGTAGCTGGTCACTCAGTAATTGCAGGAAGAAAAATTGTGATTTTTACAAAGTTATAAATATGGAAATCTCATGTTCCGCACTGTAATAAAAATGATCAAAGCCCCAACGCAAAGAGAGACCTGGAAGGGCACTTACCTTGGCATGACCGTGCTTTCCAGTTTTGGAAGTTGACATCTCCACTATTTTGCATGGTCGTCCTTTGAGAACCACGAAGCCGTTTTTGCGCAGGGCAGAGCACTGCATTGGGTAAGTGCTGGAAGCCCCAGCATCTCCAGTAGTGAAATCAATTTCATCCGCCATGGTGGGCTGGGGAGATGCTAGCTTTTCCCGGGGAACTACGCAAAAAGTTTGTGTTTGCTTTTTAACAACGGGAACGCAGGCAGGGAAACATCACATTTTGGACAGGTTACGTACCAAACATCATGGATCTATCATTTTTTCATTTATAGAACACCCACCCAAGAATAGGGGGCACTTTCTAACTCCGGCCTCTACAAACTTTTCCATCCATTGGTGGGGAGGTAGGGAGGGAGGTCGCAGATGAGCTCCTAGGGGGTGGGGGACACCCGCCCCGGGCACTCACCGGCGCGGGGAGCAGCAAATCTCGGCCCCCATCGTCCCACCGCAGGAGAAGCCGGCGACCTTCCCGCACCGCGCCGCACCACCCGGCCCTCCGCCGCCGCCCTTATCCCCACTGCGGGGGACCCAGCCCAGGCCGCACATCCGCGAGAGGGATGGGGATAACAGGACTCGGCAAACAGCACCTCGCCCTCAGGCAGCGGGCGTGCACCCCGCCCTCCAGCCTGCGGCGCCGTCGCCCCGGCCTCTCAGGCGCCCCCTTGTCCTGCCGGCATCCCCGGCCCGGCCCGGCCCCGCAAGGGCCTGAGCCCTGGCGGGTCCCGCGCTCTCCTCCGTTCCCCCATCCATCCTTCCTCCTTCCCTCGTTCTGGACTCGGCTCCGGTCGCCTCCTCCGGCCCTGCCTCGCTCCGGTCCCGGCCCTACCGGCTTTTCCCCATGTCTTCACCTTTCAGCAGGGAAAGCGCTTTCGCCTGCGCACCGGCGCCGGTCCCCTACAGCTGCGGCGGCGGCAGCGGTGGCGGCCCCGGCAGTTCCAAGAAACGGGGCGGGGCCGCCACACTTTCCACACCCCGGCCTCCCCGCCCTTTCCCGCCCCCACCACAGCCCCACTTCCGGGATAGGTCCCAGCGCGTCACAGGCACCGCCCTCTGGGGCTACCATTGGCTACAACGTTCACGAGGTCCCGCCCAGTCACGTGAAGAGCGCCCTGGCAACCCCACGTGCTGCGGATTAGTGCACTTCCGGCGTGAAGAGCACTTTTCGGAGTCCGATTGCTGGGGGTGAACTTAAAGGCAAGGAAACTTGCTACCTAAAACTTTTATGTTGGTTGCGCTTGGGTCCAAGTTGAAGTTAACGGGAGCCAAACCACGCGTTCTGTGGCGCCTGGCTTAGGGTGCGTGCTGGTTGTCACGTGACAATTGTCAGAACGTGCGAGGGACACAGATTCACTGGAAGTCCTGCGTGGTTGTGGCGGAAACTTTGGGTTCGAACCTGGCCCAGGTCTGTGGTCGAAACCACACTTGTTCCTCAAGGAAGAGCCCAAGGGCAGTATTTTATTACCGGCTCTAACCTGATGACTGACGGCGGCTCCCCACCCCGCCATCCGTGATGAGATTCTGGTAGTGACTGTCACTGGGGTCCTGGGCAGAGTCAGCAGCGCCTTCAGGCCCAGACACCTGCGAAGCAAACAGCAGCAGTGAAATGACCCAGCTCAGTCTTCACACTAGGCTGTTACAGAGTTGTGGAGGTGAGTGGTGAATGCTGATCTCCTTCCTACCTCCTGATCCCGTCCAGAAACTCAGACCTTCTGACTAACTCGGCTCTTTTTTCCTCTGGGCATTGGAATTTGACCTTGAGGTATGTTCAAACCTTAGTAGAGCTCTTGGGTTGTCTTCAAAATCCACCAGGAGCTGGTAGAGACTTGACTAGGGTTAAGGACCAAGATTCTTAAAAGCAATGTGCTCTGCCCTGTGTTCCATTTCACAAGGCACTACATTCTCCTACTTTGGACAGGTGACCTACACTTCCCGTATGCTGTCCTGTAATTTTGTATTGCTATCTTTTGAATAGCAAGTCACGTTTCTCATGTTACTATGTGGCTCTACAGTGGGCACACCTATTTGACGCATGTTGAATTTAGCCTTTATAATAAGCAAGTGACCTCCCATAAACTGAATTCAGCCTCTAGCTGACACATTAAAGAATCAAATTTGAACCGAGGTTCATGAGTCCACTTGGCTTTTCCTTACACCGTCTAACCTATCCCTGTCTAATGTTATTAGAATGATTGCTAATATGTGAAGAGTATTTATGTGAGCAGGTAGGGCATTAAATATTTTATGTGCATTATTCTTTGAACTGTTACCCGTTTTATTAACCTCAAGTTTATTTATTTTTAGAATCTTTATTTCTTTTTGAGAGAGACCACACAAGCAGGGGAGGAACAGAGAGAGAGAGAGAAGGAGGGAGACAGAATCTGAAGCAGGCTCCAGGCTCTGAGTTGTCAGCACAGAGCCCGATGCAGGGCTTGAACCGTGGAATGGTGAGATCATGACCTAGGCCAAAGTCTGCTGCTTAACCGACTGAGCCATCCAGGCGCCCCTGTTTTGTGAGTTTAGAAAAACATAGGCAGTTATATAACTACCACTGTAATCAAGGTAAAGAATATTTCCCTCATTCCAAAAGTTTCCTCCTGCCTTTTTGTGGTCAGTCCCCTCCCCCCTACACCCAGGCCCTGGAAACCATTAACAACTGCTGTTTTATCTACAGTTTTAATTGTAAAAAAAAAAAAAAAAAAAACCAGAGAAAAGTATTTTGGCCAGACTTACACAGCTAGTAAATCAGAGAGCCAAGATTGAACTCTAGGCAGTTTGACTCCATTATCACTGCTTTAACTACCACTGTATATACCACTGTATCACATAAGATTTGGATTAGAATCAAATGATTCAGCTTCATTCATTCAGCAAATACAATCAATTCTTGTGAAGTTGCTGGAACACTGAATCAGCAAATACTGAACTTTTGTTCCTAGGGGAAATGCAGAGTTAGGTGCCTGTGAGTCTGGTCACAACATTTTTGTGAAATGACCAATATATAATCTTGTTTTATGTGTGTTTCAGTGTCACATTACTTAATGCATATTGATTTCATTAACATTTAACTCACAGCCAACAGCACTATAATTATTATGCCTGAATGGAGTTTATCTGACACATATTTTCTCCATAAGGTACATCACAACCTTCTTGTGCTTAGAAGCACTAGACGGTGTTTCAGCACTGTGCTTCAGAGTCACTTTAAACAGCCAGGTCACCAACAGAAGTCACAAAAATGTGAAAAGTGGTGCTAATAGGCTGAAAAGAAACACTTGTTTAGTTTGACAGCTGTAACAAGAAGACAGAGTATCACCTTGTTTGACCTCAGCTGGGAAAATATGCGTTGGATGACTTCTATCTTTTGCTGTTCTGTGCTTGTCCATAACTGACTGTGAGAGCACTGCTAGTACTGATTATAAGTAAATTGGATCCATAGGCAAAGCCACAAATACTGGATCCACGAATAATGGGGATTCACTGTTTTTTTTAAATTAATTAATTAATTTATTTTTAATGTTTCATTTATTTCTGAGAGAGAGAGAGAGAAAGAGCATGAGCAGGGGAGGGTCAGAGAGAGAGGGAGATACAGAATCTGAAACAGGTTCCAGGCTCTGAGCTAGCTGTCAGCACAGCCTGACGCGGGGCTCAAACTGTGAGATCATGACCTGAGCTGAAGTTGGATGCTTAACCAACTGAGCCACTCAGGCACCCCTCACTGTTTTTATTTTAATACCCTTAGCACTGGAATTACCACGTTGACCAACAAAACCCCCATTCATTAGACTGCTTGCAGTCTACAATTTAGCAATTTTAATAGATAAAATAAATACAAATAAATAACTACAGGGTGCTGAAAAAAGGATCTTTTCCTCAGCTAGTCTGGGTGTAATCTAATAGGAATATGATGTAAGCCACATATAATTTTGAGTTTTGTTGTAACCATACTTAAAAAGCTAAAAAAAAAAGAGGTAAAATTAATTTCAGTAATATAGTTTACTTAACCCAGTACATCCAAAATATTTCATATGTAACCAATGTAAAAATTATTATTAAGATAATTTTATAGTTTTTTTAAATGTTTATTTATTTTGAGAGAGAGAGAGAGAGACAGAGCATGAGCAGGATAGGGACAGAGAGAGAGGGAGACACAGAATCTGAAGCAGGCTCCAGGCTCTGAGCTGTCAGCACAGAGCCTGATGCGGGACTCGAACTCATGAACTGCTAGATCATGACCTGAGCCGAAGTCGGATGCTTAATGAACTGAGCCACCCAGGTGCCCCAATTTTATAGTTTTTAAAATCGATCCTTCAATCTCTGGTGTAGAGTACATCTCAGTTCTAACTATCCATATTTTAAGCGCTCAATAGGTATTTATGATGGTGTCTATCATATTGGACACATCACAGGTCTAGAAGATTTCAAGACTGCTTCTCTAGGAGTGACTATATTAATCTGACATGAAAAAATTGGTAGAAGTTAGCAATGAGGAGGGCTTTGGAAAAGGCATTTTATGCAAAGGGATTAGGGATACAAAAACTTGTAGATGAGAGAATTGTAGCATCATCCTGGACTACAAATGTTTCAGTGTTTCTAGTGCATACTATAAAGAGATGGATGAACTGGAATTTACTCCCAAGTAAGCTAGAAAGACATTGAAATAGTACATATAAGAAAATAACAAGAATGTAGCTTTCATTTAGAAAGACACTCTTGTTTATGATGTGGAGGACTTGGGGGGAGGAGAAAATACTGGAAATAGGAAACTGATTAGGAAGAAATAGTTATGTTGGTGAACAAAGATGGTGACTATGAAAACATAGAGAGGACATATTCAGGAGAATTACATGGAAAAATGGAAATAATGTTATAAGTAATTAAATGTTGGATCAAAATGGAAATAGACACAAGGGTGTGAGAAGAAGATACAGTAAAAAACTGGGAGAATGATGCTACCATTCATTGATGTAGAAAATGTAACCGGAAAAGCACGTTTCCAGGGAAAGTTGAGTTTACTTTTGGGAAGATTGAATTTAAGGTTCCTATGGGAGAAATATGTATATATCTTAAATAGAAATGGACATTTGTGAATCATAAGTATATAGGTGATTATTAAAGCTAAAGCAAGAGACTTATTCCAGCCATTAGGACACTGACTGAAAGTGAAGGGATGCAAATAGATAATCCATGCAAATAGAAACCAGAAGAAAGATGAGGTAGTTATTCTTCTATATCAGATAAAATAGATTTTAAGACAAAGAGTGTAATAAGACACAAAGTCATATAGTGTAATAAGACACAAAGTCATATAGTGATATGGGGGTCAATCCAAAAAAGAGGATATAATATTTGCAGATAATTATGCACCCAACATAGTAACACCTAGATCCATAAGGCAAATATTAGCAGACCTTAAAGGAGAAGTAGACAGCAATACGATAATAGTATGGGACTTCAGTACCCTACTTTCAACAATGGATAGACCATCCAGATAGAAAATCAATAAGGAAACAATGGACTTATACTACCCATTAGACCAGATGGGCTTAACAGAAATTTGCAAAATATTTAACTAAGAGTAGCAAAAAACACATTTCTTCTCAAGTGCACATGGAACATTCTCGAGGATAGTCATATGTTAGGCCACAAAACAAATCAATACATTTAAGAAAATTGTGAAATCAAGTATATTTTCTGGCCACAAAGGTATGAAATTAGAAATAATTACCGAAAGTAAACCAGAAAAGTCACAAATATGTGGAGATTAAACAACATGCTACTGAACAACCAATAGATCAAGGAGAAATAAAATATCTTGAGACAAATGAAAATGGAGACACAAATTACCAAAGAAAAATGGAATGGTGCAAAAAAATCATTGAAAAAAAATTAGTAAAACTACAAACCATTTAAGGAAAAAAGATAA